GGATTGAATGTGACACATAGTCGCCTTGTAGACTATCCTCTGTATTTTCATCTCTTGTATTACAACACCTTTGTCCATGGATTCAGATTATTCGAGTTTTAACAAACACGTTTTTGGTGGATCAACACCTCTTTCGAATGATGCAAATGATAAAAAAATAAAATAAAATAAAGATGAAAAGAGTTAGTGAGGTGAAAAATAATCAAAAACGATCATAAAAATGAAAGTCCTACCCCACATGATATCTACCTCACATGCTTATTATTCCTACCCGAACATGATCTCTATCCCGCAAGTTGATTTTGAACAAGTCCTAACCGCATATTTATCTAGTTCGCATGCTTTGAACAGAAAGTAAAGCATGAAATAATTCTGGCATCCTAAGGTTTGAAATGAGGTTTTGGGGTAGGCTCTAATTCTTCAAAGTCTCAAGGTTTAGGTGCTAAAAATGGTACCCGAGTTCTCCTTGTTGGTGCCCCCTTGGGCTTGCCAGACCCTTAGTCCTAAACCCATCACAGGCTCATGTGGACTAAGTTAAACTCGAGAGGACACATTCCCTTATGTCTATGCGGAGAATAAATTCACACGAAGACATAAGGTATATGAATCCCGAAGGCTACTTGCTAGGCATATGCGGTGAATAAATTCACACGAATGCGTCGCTTTCACCCCCACTTAAAACGGGTTTGGAGCTCGGGTTTAGAGCCTTAGATGAAAAAATACTTTAAGGGCTGAAATCATTGAGAAAACGGTTAGTACAACTATTTACGCGAAAAAATATAATCAAAAGTAAGCAATAAGGATCGAAATGTTACCTTAAAATTTAAACTTACCCTTTTCGTTGAAAAGACAACTGGAAATTATCTTAGCCTGACTCACTTACCTGTGTCCCCAGCGGAGTCGCCAAGCTGTCGCAACCGTCTTTCGGTTGGGCCCCGGAATTGGGCTTCGACTTAGGAAAATGGATTGGAGTCGTCACCGATCATTTATTTAAAAATAAATAGGTTGATCGGATACCCTATTTCTTACCTGATCTGCATCTTACCAGAAATATGTCGGGCTCGGGAGTCGGTTACGGTCAAGGAAGGATTAGCACCCTTGAACCGCCCTTTCGGTACTACGTAATTTCCAGTTGTCTTAATTAAGAAAAATAACAAGTTAAATTAAAAGGTAAAGTTTCGACCCCAATTACTTACCCTTTATTGATTTGAAAATATCCTTAAAAAATCGAGAAATGTGTTAGATAAACAAGGTAAATAAAACAAATAAGGTAAAAGGGAAAAATAAAATAAATAAAATAAATAAGATAAAGGAAAAAAATAGTAAAGTAATAATTATATAGTAATATTTGAAAAAGGAAATATATATATATATATATATATATATATACATCAAAGTATTAAAAAATAGAAAAGTTACCCTCTCACTTCACCGAAAGTGAGGGGCTTTAGTCAGAAATAAGACAAAAAATGGGTCCTCTAGGTTAGTAATATATAATAAATGTTTAATAATAATAATGATAAAGACACAAGATTTTTTAAAAAATAATATAATAATAAATAAAAAAAAGAAAATAATAATATATATATATATATAAAGTTATAAGATATATTACGTAAATAAAAAAATAATCAAATAAAAATAATTAAGAATATATATATATATATATATATATATAATAATAGGTATATAAATCAACCATTAAAAGTATAAAAAATATATGACTAGATAAAGATAATTACAATATATAGTAATAATAGACTTATAAGTAGAATATTAAAGAAATATATATATATATATATATATATATATATATATATATATATATATATATATATAATAATAATAACATAAATAATAAAAATAAATGAATAAAATATCCATATAATAAATAAAGGGACTAATATAGATTTTTAAAAAGCTCTTCCCCTCCTTTAACCGAAAATCAAACCGGTTTTTCAAAATAAGCCTCGGGGTAGATCTAGGTTCGAAACTTCGAAACCCTACCCATTTTGGTCATCGGCGCAACCCACGTTTTGGGTTATTCGAATCAAATCTCAAGAAAAATAACGTGCACATGCAAAAGAAAGAAAAAAGAAAATGCTACCTTTTATTTCCTTTTCGAATCCTTTACAATAGCTTTGCCTTTGTATCTTCCCGTGCTTTCCTCTATGTTTTGTGTGTAAATCGTGTCCTCAAATGGTGAGTTACAATGGCTATTTATAGTGCTTGTAGATCCTATCTTTAAGAATTTAAATAATAGTAGAACTCTATCATATTTTTTGAATACTAACAAAATTCTATCCTATCTTTAGGAGTTTGAATTCTAGTAGGACGAAAAAGTGTGTTGACACTGAGGATAGAATTTGTTTCATGACAGACTATGTTTCAGTTGCTGATGAAGTCATTTGTTTGGAAGGATGTAAGAGATTTGGGTTCCGTAGATTCATTCTCGCTTTTAGTATGAGCCTTAGACCTGTTTGTTGTTTCTTTCTGCCTTATTCTGATAGTGTGCAGTGTACTACTGCTACTATTATTTTAATATTTTTTGCAGTAACTAACGAATTTAATTTATTGTTCTTTTTCATTGTAATCATTCATAAAGCGATATTCCATGTAAATCCGAGGCTCAGAATTTTAGAAAGCTGGCTAGTGATTAATTAATTACTTAAATATTGATATCATGTAACAGTAGGTTAAAGTTATTTATGAAGAAATTAAATGATAAACCTTTATAATAACGAGAATACTTCGTTAATAATTTGCTCTCTTGCAAATTTTTCTACCTACTCTTGTTTTCTTGTGAGCGTGTACTAGGCACGGTTTTTAGAATCGGACCGGTTAGCGAACCGGTCATGCTACCGGTTCACTGGTTTAACCGGTCGAATCGGTTCGATTGGTCGAAAGAACCGGACGACGTCATAATTATTTAAAAAATTAAATAAAAATATAAAAAAATATTTAATAAAAAATAATTTTTTATATCACAATTTATATTCAAAGCAAGTCATAATATATATAAGTTAAAAACCATAAAATCAAGTGAAACAAAATGATTCAAATTAACTACAACTAATATTTGAGGTAAAACATATTAAATAATAAATATAATTATATAACTATAATTAAAAAATAAATTTGGGGCTAAAAAATCATAACAAAATGATATTGTTTGGTTTAATTTTTTTTGAAAACAATCTCACATGGCTAAGAAACATAGAAGATCATCCCAACTAACTTCTATAAATAATAGAGGTAATTTGACATTCAAAATCATCGAGCCTTTTGGTGAGCATTGAGTGAACTATCTTTTACTTCAATCAAGTTCGAATTTTAGGCTTCAATCGAGCTTCTAAATTTTTTTTGAGTTCAAGCCTTTTCGAATTCAAGTTTCAATATTATATTTCGAGTTCGAGTTAAACTTCATAATTTTTAGCTCGTGAGTTTGAGTCGAGTTGAGTTTACTTTTAAAATTTTCAAGTTCGAGTCGAGCTCAGCAATACTCGAGTTCGACTTGACTCGTTTAACAAACGACGTCGTTTGATTTAATTTTTTTAAAAAAAACAAAAAATGCGGTTTTTTCTGGTTTTCAGCCGATCCGGTTTGAACGGTTCAGCGGTTCTGGTCGGTTCACTAGTAGCGGTTCAATCGGTCTAGATTGAACCGGACTAGGCAACAGTTCCCGATTGAACCGGTCGGTCCGATCCGGTCCGGTTTTCAAAACACTAGTACTAGGCTGAGCAATTAAGTAGTCAATGGAGATGAGATTTGGTAAATGCAATTAAAGTAAATAATTCTTACAAGCTTGTAGATTCACTACAACAAAACTGTACATTTGCGGCGTTTTTTTTACATATAGCGGAGTTTTTAAACGCCGCAGAAAACACCCGCGGCGCTATGATAAACGTCGCAAAAAGCGCCTCTGAAAATAGCGCCGCTAAAATTCGCGGCGTTTGGTAACAAAAAAACGCCGCAATAGGTAAAGATATACAGCGGCGTTTGTCCAACAAACGCCGTAATAGGTGTTGATATTTAGCGACATTTTTCCCACAAATGCTGCAATAGGTTTTGAGATTTAGCGGCGTTTGTCCAACAAACGCCGCAATAGGTGTTGATATTTAGCGGCGTTTTTTCCACAAACGGCGCAATAGGTCTTGAGATTTAGCGGCGTTTTGACACAAACGCCGCAATAGGTCTTGAGATTTAGCGATGTTTTTCTCACAAACGCCGCAAAAGATCTTGTATATAGCGGCGTTTTTTAGAACAAACGCCGCAAAATGTCATATCTATATCGGCGTTTTAAGATAAAAACGCCGCTAATTACCTCTCTATAGCTAAGAGAAATTGATTTTGCAAATTAAAACTAATTTGTCAAATGTTGTTTTCTACTCTTTTAATACCCAAAATGTTTTGGTTTATGTAATATCTGTTTCTCATTGAGTGACCTTAATTATTAAAGGGAATGTTGTTCTTTTTTGAGATCTTAGATTCGAACAACTACACTTACAGTGTATGTACAATATTAATGGTTAAAATAATTATTAACAGATATTATTTTATAATCAACTTATGCTATTGAATAGTATACATTTTTCCTTTATTTTGGGAGCAATAACTTCACAACCAGCAAACAAAGAAACTAAACCAACATACCAAAATGATTAATTCGCCACCTATTTATAGCAATTTAAAGGGAGAAAACACCAAATCGAAATTTATTAAAAGAGAAATGAGAAAAGGGTCTGAACATGCATGCACGACAGGCTTTTAACATGGTTTTAGTAAAAGGCAACTTGTTTAAGTCTTTAACTTTTTTCCCCAAAAGAAAAAATCTTTTGAATACCGTCTCATATCGTTTAAAACCGAATCTGGGTTTCACTGAATCAGTCGACAAACACTGATTTCTTTTATTTTCTTTCTTGAGTTTGAGAATCTAATAATTAAGGCGGCTAAAGCCTAAGAAAAATGGAGATGGTAATGTCCCCTTTGCTCTTTCACTTTCAGCGGAGGAACCAGACGCCGGAGTCGAGGTTTGAATCATTGCCGCTCAAGTTCCCAGCTTCGCTACCTCTTCCACTTCCCTATATATTACATACCATAAATTCAATTAATGTTGTATTAATTACATAACTAATTAAAATGCATAACTTATCAATTAACTTCTAGGTTTAGTTTCGAAAGAAAAAAACACATAATTCATAAACAAGTATAATCCTCGATTTTAAAAGATATAGTAATTTACAGACATTGTAGAAAAAAAAACACATAATTCATAAACAAGTATAATCCTCGATTTTAAAAGATATAGTAATTTACGGACATTGTAGACAGATACATACACATACACATGATTTTATGTTAAGGTTGCAAACTTAAAAAAATTATATTAGAAATTTAAGGGTACGACCTTATGAAGATATATTAGAAATTTATAAGATGCGGAATTGGTTCATCAATAGAAAATAAAAAAAAAATCTAAATTATATATGGTTTTGAAATTTCAGGAGTGCAATTGCATCCTGCATCCTGCATCCCTAGGTCCATTTTTTTATTATAGAAAATTATTTAAAAATTAAAATCATATAACATTTATCAAGATTTAAATGTATTTATCGAAGCCAAAAAAATCATTTTCCCTTATTTTCCTTCCTTTTACTCAAATCCTAACACAAGGTTAATTAACTTGCATGTTATGTATCCAAATCATTCTCTTCTTATGGATTAATAAACAGTATAAGATATCATCATCATCATCATGTATGTTGGTCTTACCTGCTGTATGATGTTCATATTCCTGGGAGGGAAATTTGCATTGACAATCCCCGACGTCGATGGACGGTACATATTTTCATCAATATGCTCTTGAAGAAGAAGATATCTCATCGGAGATGGTAAATTTCTGCACACATCAAAATGAGATGTAAAATGTGTGTGAGGTACAGTAAATAACTTGAGAAATATTAACAAAAGGCTTCATTAAAACCTTGGAGGTTGCTGAAGTCCATTTGATTCATCAGTAAAATTTACTGGAGCTTGAAGATTGGCGTGTGATGTCCAGTTCATCAAATTGTAGTTCAAACTTCTCGGTATCATAGCCCCCGCACTTACATTTTGTGCATGAAATGCATTCTAAACACCAAAGCCAGAAAGGACATCAGAAAACTTGTGATTATGGTGCCTTTCACCCAATCTAATCCCTAGAATCACACAACTCTAACCTATAATAATCTATATGCATGCCATAACTTTTAACTAGTGTTAATTGCATATTTGAAATTACTCCATAAGATAAAAAAAACATTCTAATTGAATCATTAAATTAAAATATTGCTCCAATCAAGCCTTTTTGTCAAGTATTTAATTAACTAGTTTTGAGGATTTTAAATGCCAGGCATAGCAATGAAGAAAGAGAGCATAGTATCAAGCATGATTAGGTATAAATCGATTAAACAAATAGATTTTAATGATATTCGTGGATTTTTTCCAAATTAATTGACAAGGGTCTAAGTTCTTTTAAGGCTAGTGTAACCAAATGATTGTGAGGAAGAACGAAAATAGATATGATAACCCTAAAATTAATAAGTAGATGTTGATGGCTTGATTTTACAAAGAATTAAAGAAAATAAAAGTATATAATTAAAAGTAAGGGAAGAAAAGACTCTTTAAGGGATCAAGGATGTAATTTGATCAAGACTGACTTTGAAAAACTTAAAAAAAAAAAAATCAGAGTGCAAATGGAGGAAAGAGGTGCAATCACCTTTTAAAAAAGACAAAAAATACATGGATGAATTTGTTATTTATCAAAATATTTTAATTATCTGAGAATTTTGTATAAAATCATACACGAGATTAATAAAGTCATCAAATTATAAGAAATCATGATAATAAATTGATCATCAACTAATGGATCAGTTTGAAATCAGGGTTTATGAATTATGGTCGTTAATGATGTAGTTAGTAAACTTAAGTTGAATTAATGTTTATGGTTTCTTCTCTCAATCTTTACTTGAGAGGGAATAAAAAAAAAGTACAAAATCAAAATTGAGATGACAAATATATGTGAATGTGTCGTGTGAGTAAAAAACTATCAAATAAGATGTTGTAATAAATTATTTAAAATGACATATTGTATTAAATATGAACATCACTAACATATCATCACTTTTCGCTCATATATATATATAGCCCTAAAGATATAGTATGAATTCAATTTGTATGTTTTTCTTAAATGGGATTTACATAGGAATTTATAGATTGTACATCAAGAGTGACAGTGGTAAGATTCGAATTTGACCTTACAAACTCAAATTCTTAAATCCCAACCACTCGTGCCAACCCTAATTGATGAATTAATGATTTTTTTTAACCATGAATAAGTAGTAGCAGACTAGCAGTAATGGGTAAGTTCTAGGGTTTATACCTGGCGGGGCAGAAAGGTAAGTCCAAAATCCTGTGAGGTTGGTTGAACAATCCGATTTGCTTCTAGAAACGTCTGCAAAATCAGAAACGAGAAACATTCACGTATAAAGATTTCAAGTGTAAAGAAAGGAATTTGAACTTCAATGGGGGTGTATTATACGTGCCTTGCGAAAATGGACAAGCTTCAAGGTCTCTTCCAGCATCATTTCATAGTATGAAGCCTCATTCATTGATGTAATACAGCTGGGATTTCTCAGAAAAGACCTAAAAAAAACAATCCATTTCTCGTTACATCATAGTGAGAAATAATTCAAGGACCATTACGTATTTAATTTGATTTTTCCATACTGTAGCTGTCTCTCCACATCTTCCACCTGAGCACCGCATATCAGTATGTCTTCCTGGATTTCCTGCACCATTAATTCTTACGATTATACATTAAAAAAAAGACTTTAACTTTCCACTTACCGTTCTTTCACTCACGAACAAACATATAATTTTATGTTAGAATAGAATAACTTACAAGATTTTAGAGAGGTAAAAATATCTTATTAATAGAATATATAAAGAAAATATTTAAATATTTAATAATTTAAAATTTATAGGGAACCGATCCTTCTGCCAAACCCAAACTCCACTCGGTTAGTCCCTACTTATAGTATTTCATCGCATACCTTCAATTGGGTGTCGAAGCCTCTGTCGCTCCTGTAATACAAGGAAGTAAAAGACATCATCAATCGGTCACCATTAGACTTAAGAATAGAGGTATTTAATTTAATCCAAGGAGAAGCCAAACCTGTAGATGGTGGAGCGATCGTAATAACCTGCTTCAAGGCTCATCTGAGTGATAATGCGTCGGATCAACTGAAACAAATTATATAGAATTTCTCTTATATGTAAACTTCTACTGAAATTTCTTAATTATTTTCTAGTTAAATAGTTTGGAAACAAAGAAGGGTTCGTTACCTCTTGATTTTCCACCCTTCCAATAATAATTCACGGTTCATCACAAAAATTAAAAATAAAAGTCAGCAAAAAATTGTTGTTAAGGAGATCTTTTATATATATACTATAATCAAATTTAAATAAATATATTGATTATTGATTCAATGATAATTTAAAATCGATCGAACAATCCAATCATTAAACCGACGTAATAAACAAAAATTAAATATTAATAAATGTGTGCACGCGTGCGTGTGTGCGCGCGCGCTTATATATCAATCTAAGATTTTCTTCCTTTTGAGTATTTTACTATATTATATGAAATCAATTACAACACGACAAAATACGGGAAAACAATCAAACATTCGTGCAAAAAATGTAAATACTCAAATTTATAAAATACAAATTATTAATATATAAACTTTTATACAAATATAGAATATCTTAATAAAAATTATTGTTTAATTTCTTCATCCATTACTATTTATTTAGAAAATTGTTATAAAATTTTCAATCAAAAGAAGAAAAAATCTTACCATCCACGTCGACGAGCAGGAAGTTCAATGTAACGAGCAAAAATTTCTTCGAATCTACACAAAATCCAAAATCAAATCACAAATAAATAAATAAAACAAAATTGAAGGAATTATCCAAAAAAAACAATATATTAATGAGTAAAATGAGATATTCACATAAGATCAAAGCTCAATGAGGGGCTATGAATCATAGATCATAAAACAAAAGAAGAAAAGGAGAAAACCAGACCTTTTCTTGGCATCGAAAAGGAAGAGTTTTCCAGCTGGAGAAAAGATAAGAAGGGCAACCTCCACATCACAAAGAGTGGAAAGCTCATAAGCTTTCTTGACAAGCCCACTTTTTCTTTTGGCGAAAGTTATATGCCTATAAGTTTTGTTCTCTATTTTTTTCATCTGCACTTTAACCCTACCCATTTCTCTCTTAATTCTAGGTTTCTCTTTTCAACTATCATATTTATATATCAGAAAAAGGGGGTTTTATTCTCCCCCTCTTTACTTTTGTGCAGGTCCACTAGAATACAGATTAAAGTGTAGTAAATTTAATCCCTTCTGTAACTTTATTGGTGCCATGCAAGAAGTGCAACAACTTTGGTTTCTTCTATTTAAGCAGATTCTTTTATTAAAGAGGTTTTAAAGATACAGAGCAGCAATCCTTTGTCTAAACTAATCCCCCATTCACATTTCCATCTATATACTGTATCATATATAACAACGTTTCCACGCGTTTAATAGTATCGGTTGATTATAATATGATAGTATTTGTTTAAAATATTTTTTTAATTTATTGACAAGGCACACGCAACTGTTTAAATCCAAAACCTTTAGAGAAAACAATATTTTCTTATAACTTTCCATGTGTTTTTGGTATTCTTACTGAGGCTAGTTGATAAGTTCACATTTTTTGTAACTTTCAATTTTAGGATAATCGAGCTGTCACCGGTAATAGGATGACAAATCATCCTAAATAATATTAAAAAATAATTATTGTTGGTTTTAATTAAGATAACATTAATTAGAATATTAAATAAGTGACAATTTTATAGGGATCCAATACTCGTATGTCGACGTATCAGCTTGAGCACCTCTCTAGCGGGCTTCGCCATCTCGTAGCCTCATATTTATCTACAACCTCAAATAACCAAAAGTCTAAAGTTAAGATCACAATTTATGAAAATTGCTAAAATAGTTGTGGCTTAATTTTTTAGAAAAATCTTTTTCTTATATGTTGAGTTCTATGCACGAAGAATTTTTTTTTATTTGTTCATGTGGTTTTTGTGGGCATCATAGTAAGTCTCGTGTTTTAAAATAAAATAATTCAATGACATTGAATGTGATAACTCACCCTGGATTGGAGGTGTTTATCGAGCGAATCAATCATGAGTTAAACAATACCTTGGCTCAAAAATTATTCTACTCATGTTCGATACTTGATAAATTTGATAAAATTCTACACGAATTGTACTTATTAAAAAACTCATTGCTCGAATCTACTCGTTGCTTGTTAAGTTCTCCATAATTTTATGTAAAATGTAATAATACTATTGATAGCTTCATATAAACATAAAATAGCAAATTTAACAAAAAAAATGATCACAAAAATGTGTGAAGAAATTTTAAATTTTAAATTTCAAATAATAATTCACAAATACATCAAACTAACATATTAAAATCAATGTAACAATCTACTGTTCTTGAAAAAGTTAAGTTAATATAATTTTTAATGAGACATTTTACTTTGATCTTACCTTCATATTACTCTTGATTGAATTTAATTTAATATTGGAATGAATTTGTAAAACACAATTAATCATAAAAACATTTAAGTATAGGAAAAAAATATGTCTACAATTAAAGTTATTTAAAATCTATCATATGAGAGAGATGCATTTAACATCCTTAAATAACTTAAAATAAATGCTCTTAAAATTTTAAAAATTATAATTTAGACCTTTAAAATTTGGTCTTCCAAAACTTTTAAAAATTCAGATTAGATTTTAAATTTTTGAATGTTTTTAATTAAACCCCCATAATTTTTAAAATTAAGCCTCTAAAAATTTCAAAAAGTTTAATTAGATCCTAATTTTTTGGAGAAAAAATAAGCCAAAATTTTTAAAATTTTTAATTTAAAACTCTAAATTTTTTAAAGTCTTAATTTTCCCCCAAAAACTCTATCACCAAGTTCCGCCATTGATTATATAGATTGAGAACATGAGAAAATAGGTGAAAGTATTTGTTAAGTCTCTTTATTATGCGGATTTTATCAATTTAATTCTTTTATTATTAAATAGATTAATGTACCTTTTATTATAGAAATTGAATCAAATTAATTCTTCTATTATTAAATTGATCGACTTAACTCTTATACTAGTAAAAAACAAATAATATATTTTTGTAGAATTAACATTTAATATTTTAAAAATAACCTTATCTCATCTATAAGGTACCCTTTTGTAGCACAAATTTAATAATGTACAATACAAAGTCCCATTTTTTAATAGAATTTAATAAGTTGCAAACATCATTTTAACTATACATCATTTTTTTTGTCAAATGAGAAAACACTTATCCCAATATCGTTTATTTTTTAAAATGGTATGTGGGTAACTTATTTATTCCATTTAATAAATAAAATGTATACTTGGATAATATCTCTGACTTCAAAAAAAATATAAAGGCTTAATATTAAAATAAGTGTTTAAATTATACCTTAATTCTTGAATAGATACCTAAATTTTTTTTTGACTCATTCATGTGCCTAACGTTACAAATGTTATCATATTAGGTGCTCGGCCATCAATAACGTTAATTTCCCTCGTTAAGTGACACGTGTCACAATATGATGATTTGATTTTTTTTTAAATATTATATTTGAAAAACTAATTTCTCTTAAATTATAAAAAAAACCCAAAATACCTAAAATCATATCCTTAACCCGTCGCTGCCGCCCTTTTCGACCACGACCACTGTCGTTGACGAAGTCCCTGCCATCCCCCTAGTCATATGTCGTCGAAGTTGTCAATTGGTTGTTGAGATCGTGTGGGATCACGATTTTTATCGTAGGGTTCGTGGGGTATAAAACGTCGATTTACCGTCAATGGGTCACGATTTCATGGGGGATTTTGGTCGACTCGGGGAGATGAGATCGGGTAAAGCTTCGTCGACAGTAAAAGACGACATCCAACTTGGATTTAGGAGTTGAAATGAAGGTTTTCAAAGTTTTTGAATTATTTCAAAAATATTAATGTTTTTCTTTAAAATATATATAATTTTATTTTTTAAATTTTTAATAAAAATTTTAAAAGTATCAAATTATGATACATGTCACTTAATGGAAAAATTAACATCGTTGTAGGCCAGGATACCTAAAATGATAATGTTTGTAACGTTAAACGCCTAATATATCAAAAATAGTTTAAACACCTATTCGAGAATTAACGTATAATTTGGACACTTATTTTGGTATTAAACCAAAAATAAATTACAGACTGTGACTTTTAAGTCAAATCCAAATCAGAATTCTCACCTTTTTAATATTTTTTTCACACACCGGTAAAAATCCAAAAATAGATTAATGGTACACATTTCTTGATCAACTCCAAGCAGCAAAGGTATAGAATTTTAGTGGCTTGGAATTTCTGTCCAGATTCCGAGTACAATTTTTTCTTCCATCTTCTTTCTCCAGCAAGGACGGTGCCGGTAAGATAACTGTAAGATAATGGCGTCGCGTAGAATGAAGCTATCAACATGCAAGCACTGCCGGTTTGAAAAATCACCCACTAAAATCTTTCACTAACACGAGATGATGACGTAATAAAATCTTCAGACTATCAAGAACAAGTTGTTCAACAATTGCATGGCTATACAAAGAGCTAATTGGGAGTACAAAAAGCATAATGTAAAATACTTGGTTTGCTACAGCTTTCGTGTCCATGGACGTAGTAGTTTATATGGAAAACTGGACACCAAATTACAGAGTTCAGAACAAATACACAAAACCTAACAGGACAGCTTCATAGAAATGTACCCTTGATATTGCCGTGTCTATTCAAATAAAGTCATCGAGAAGGTCTATTTATACTCGAATGCTCGCTCTCCATGGAGATGATACAAGCGAGCCTATCATAAACCTGTAATCAGTTTAGAAAACTCAATCCTTTTCCAGAAAAAAGAAATGATTCATATTTGAATTGTACAATATTGCATCACTTACCTCTGAAAGCTGCTGACTACTTTTCCGCTTCTCTTCAGGCTCTTTCTTTGTTGATGATGAGTCGTACCTACAAAGCATGTCGGAAAAATCGCATTGTCGATTGGTTATAAAGATTAACAATTTAGAATTGCATGAGGACTTTCATACATACCATTCGCGTGGAATGCCTGCTTCATCTCGAGCTGAATAATTAAATGGCCCTTTCAGCTCCAAATTATACTCTTGTAATAAATCTGCCCAGTTTTCAAAGAAAAACATAAAGATATTATAGTGCTTGAATGGAATTAATTTTAAAGCACAAAAGAACCTGTTCTGCAGTGATAAAATGCTACTAAACCTTTAAATGTGGAGCATGGGGCACGATTCATTTTATGGCAGACGGACATAAACCAGTATACACCAACAGCTACATGTGCTATTTCCTCTTCAGCAATCCTAGCTACAATGCTAGATGTCCTGTGATCCCCAAAACCAATCATTTTTTGGACCAAGCGTGGCCCGGCATCAAGGCCCCTAGCCTCCTACTTTCATAAAAGAAGTGCTTAAATTTCCAAATCAAATTAAAATAACACAAATTGGCATATATTAATTGGAGGGTATATCTGAGGAAGGACCAAAGGGATAACCAGCGGATTTTACTCTTTCCAGAAAATGTTAAATAAGCAAGTACCATATTGACACGATAACAGATAACCAACTCTTTATCTCTTAATTTAGAAAAAATATTATGACACAATCCTACAGAAATGGCTAATGCATCCAAAACAATATAGCCTGAATAGTAACAATACGTTGAATTGTGTGGCATGGCAGAAAAAAGTTCTATAAACTCAAAAAAGTAATAGTCAAGCTATATAACTGGATTTGGACACTGGAAGCAAACTTTATGCATATGACCTGAAATTGAAATGGTTAAACTGGAAAGGACAACTTTTGTTACAGATGATCAATTTTTGAGCTTCAACTTCGACCTAGACTAGATCATAAATGGTTCTTAGGGAGATGCCCTGAGTTTGACCTGAGCCTATTGAGGCATTAGACTGGACGGGAGAAATTGCATTTGTACAAACTTAAAAACCGAGTTAATATAGGTTCACGAAATTTCCTATGAAAAATCCTTAACTAAAGTTAGTGTCATGCACATCTGAAACTGGAACAAAATCTAATCTGCCTAAATCATGACTCAAAGCCAAAGCATAGTTTCAAAGAATTCTTGAAGTGAGATTACTGAATGACTTTGAGCCATGCAAGCTTTGTAAGGTTGTTATTCTGAAATGGAAGACTACATTCATGTCCCCCAACCTTGTAACAGGGAGAGAGAGGGAGAGAGAGAGAGGTAGAACGTGCTAATACAAACATGCTAGTACAGTGCCAGCAAGACTCTGATTATAGGTGCGAGTAAGGGACAAAAGATTGCTGCTGAGGAATTGTTTCAGTTAGACGAAAAGGAGCAGCAACTGCAGATCAGACAATTATATCTTTGAAGAATTGCATTTTACAAGAGTGGAACTCAAGATCGTAAAGCCATTCAAGGAAGCTTCTGTTTGAAGAATGAAAAAGTCAGTCCAGAGTAAAAGATCACCTGTACTAATGGAATGGCAGCCAAACGTGCAGCAACATTATCTGATGATTTCTCACATTCTCTCCAAAGTAAGTTATGAGCAGGCATATCTCCATAACTAAATAAAAGAAAAACAATTGAATGGAAGCACATATGATGAATATAAATTAGTAAGGTGGCCAATTTCAAGGCATATTTAGGTTCTTCAAACACAAATGCTAGTTATCATGCGCATAGACAAGCAAGAACAACACATCTGCACTGAAAAGGAAAAGATTGTGCACGGAAATAGAGCCTCCCAATTAATAAATGCACCATACATAGGAAAGACTCTTTCATTTTTTTTTCTAGTTAAATAATCAACATGGTCGAACCTCTGATTAAAAGCATGCATATCTTCATATCTAGCTAAGGTAGAAGAATGTCAAGTCATTTAAATATGGAAATAGTAAATTAACAGACTATAGAAATCGAGAAATCTACTTACTTGAAACCAAGCTCAACAAGCCTTTGTGAACACCAGGCAAAATGACGGCTCTCATCATCAGCAACATGAGCAAAGTCGGCAAAGAATTCCTCCCCAAGAATATCATAGAAGGGTGAAAATCGTACAACAGTATCCCATGCCAAATCAATTGCATTGAGCTCCACATGAGCCAGGTTATGAAGCAGATAAGCATTAAGAGGCAGGCCAGACTTTTTGGGGTCGGGAACATCCTTTGGAGAAACCTGCATTTCACCCCCTCCCCCAAAAAAACCCCCAAAAAGTAACCATTTTCAAAAAACAATATTTAAAGTGAAAGATAGGTACGCCCAAATGAATAATTGATCACAAAGTGAAATGTAGAGGAATGGGAAAAAACCAATTGAGGGTTAGGAGGGCGAGCAGGTCGAGAAGGAGGGTGGCAGAGTCCAATTGGCAGATTCTCATAGCGCCACCTGGAGAAAGCCAATTGAGATAACTTGGATTTGGTAAGAGGGTCACTGGTGGACAGAACCAGAGAACCAAGCTCTGCAAGAGAGGAACCGGAAGCTTCAAGAGGGGCCGGCGTGTTGGGGGCGTCAGTATCGGAGGAAGAATGTCGGGAGTGTAACAGAGGCTGCGGACCATTGGGTCCCCAAAACCGGTCCTCGTTCAGTGGGCTCTCTCTCCAGCTTTGGAGACCAGACCAAGGAGAGAATCGCAAAGGAGGAGGAGGAGAAGGAGAAGAAGAAGAGAAAATCCGAAGTTTGGTGTAATGAAAATGGCTTGGTAGATATGAGAACCTCAGCTTGGGGGTGAGTAGCATGGTTCTGATTGTGAGATGGAATTCCATCCTCGTCACTTCAACCCTAATTGAGAGGGCTAAAATACTGAACTCGATTCCATAAAATCAATTTTCCTTAGAAATTGAGTTTTTGACCCATTTTTATTAAATTAATTTCGGGATCAGACTAGAATCAGTATGAGAATATTTACAAAATTTAATTATATAATATTATTAATATATTTATAAAAATATTACTATATATTAGAATTATTTTATATTTATTTTTCCTCTGTCGGTCACCCATTTCCTTCTTTTCAAATTTAATAATTATACATAAAAAATTATAAAGGTAAATATGAAAAATTATTAAATTTAATTTAAAAATATAAAAATACTATATTTATTAAGTGGTTTAGGTATTCTTATATTTTATAATTGACATATGTTCGGATTTTCATTTGAATACTTTTATTTATTCTTTTTCCACCATTAACATTATTATAAGAAAAATAAGTTTTAGGATAAACTATACTGATGTTTATTAATATTTGAATAAATTTTTATTTTTTATTAAAATTTAAAAAATAATAAATTAATTACTAACATTATCGATTTATGATAAAATAATTATTCTATCGTGTCCAGTTATATTAATGATGGGCAATATTAATAGAAAGGTGCATTCATTAATGGAAATACCTCTCTTTTCTTGTATATTTAGTCAATCGAGATATTTTAGAAAGAAGGATGTTTCATTTTATTGTTGATCTCGTCTAATGAATTGAGAATTGTGTTATCATGTGAATGAGTGTGGGTTATTAGCTTATGGGATTTGGCCATGGTGATACCATATCAACATGTAGATGGAACAGCTCAAGAACACCAACTCCTACCACTACAGACTTAAGGGAAGTCTCACGTACAACAGTTTAATATACAGTTAAGAAAAAACACTATCAAAAATATTATTTTTTTTTAATTTTTTTTGATAAAAAAATTATTTAAAATATTTTATTTCTATCGAAAATATATTATTGGACGTTTTACAAAATTTGATAAAGCCACCTAAAATATTATTATTTTTTATTAAAAATGATAATATTGGACATTTTACTAAAAATGTTAAAAATATTAATATTTTAGATAAAAAAATAATATTTTAAATATTTTTTTATCAAAATATTAAAAAATAATAACATTTTTAATAACCTATTCTTTTAAGAATATATTAAGATTGTCGTACACAGAATTTATCAGTCTGAAAAGCTCTGGAAGAGAAAAAAATAAAGAAATTTTCACACAGATTTGGGGTATGCGTTCAAATGAAAAGCATCATCCAAAGGAATACTTTTTCCGGGCCAAAACTGACGGATGCCAATGTCAAATTTTGCCTCATTCGACCAAACCTCTTTTCAAACGTCGACTCTCAATGGGTATTTATTAGTATTATCGTTTACTGTTCATTTGGCGGGTTATGAACGCTGATAATTGGGGTGTTTATCGAGCGGGTCGATAGCGAGTTGGATAGTGCTCGACTCTTATTCATTAAAAAAATTTATTGCTCGACTCAATTCGTTGCTCGTTAAAATTTTACTCGACTCGTAATCGTTAAGAAAATTTGTTGCTCAACTCGTTATTCGTTAAGCTCGTTAAAATTTTACTTCACTTATGCTTATTAAGAAAATTTGTTGTTCGACTCGTTGTTTGTTAAGTTAACAAAATCTTTATTTTATTTTTTTAACTATAAGTATAATCTATTAATACTATGTAGAACTTAATATAAACATAAATTAATAAATTTAATCAATTTTTTTAAAGAGTATATGAAACAATTTCAAAATCCAAACACCAAAAAACAATCCATAAACACATTAAATGATAATTAGGGTTTGATTTTTTAGTGTAGTAAAATAATAATTATTAACTAATATTTTTGTATTTTTAATTATTTATTAGAAAATTAATAGATTAATAAATTAATTATTTATTATTTATTAGTAAGTTAGTAATTTTTTTAATGAAATAATTTTTAAGAAGACTATTAAAAAGTTATACAAGATTAACGAGTTACTCGTGAACTTATCAAATTGAGTTACAATTTACTTAACTCAATTCATTAAAGTATCTAGTCGAGCTCGAACTAAATTAATTCGAATCAAACTTTTATTAAATTTTAATAATATCAAATTAGAATTATTTACGAACTGCTCACCTCGTTAACTACCCTAACGCTAATCCCAAATTTCCAGTCAAAATATGCACAAAATAATTCCAAAATTGACGACAATGTCCCACCCTCCAACTAAACAATCACAGCAAACGATTAAAATCAAACACCTTAGCTTTGGCTTTGAGAAAAAAGAAGAAGAAAAAATCCTGGAAACGCAGCAACAGAATAGCGAACCCTGGGTATTACTTCATTTTTTTCCTTACAAAGATTAAGACAAGAAAGGAAAAGTCCAAAGCTGCATACAGGTACCAATTCTTTTTTTCTTTTTTTTTTCTGTTTTCCTTTCATGTTGGCTTTGAGAATTTCTCTACGTTTTCGAACTTATCTTTTAATTTCGATAAATGAATCCTGGTTCATGCTTAACAGCCTAGAGAATCAAAGTTTCACTTTTGTGCCGTGTTAAGATCATAGACCCATTAACACCGTTGAAATCTTGATTGAGGTCTTTCTTGTTTCCTTGCAGTGTTTTATGCTCGACTAATTACCTCTTTGGAGCTGGTTGTTTTTGAAATAATAAGAAAATCCATTTGATCTATTTACTTTCTTTTGACATATTGTTTGTTAGTATAATTTTTAAACGCTAATGGGCTTCGGATGAATGAGATTTTAAGGTCTGAGGTGGTTCTTGGGTTAAGTTTTGTTATTAATTTGTTTTGTCGTTGTAAAAGTGCAAAAACCAGCTTAAACATGCACTTTCGTAGGAAAATAGTGTTTGTTATATTATTGCAAGACGAATAATTAAGCCTGCATAAATCGTTAAGGTGTAAAAATGATTTGATTAAGTTGCAGCAGTTTAACTTTTCTGTTATCTTGATCTTGCTAGGTACTTCAAAATATATTAAGACCTAAAACCATACAAATAACTTAAGAAAGATTTTGGAAGTAACTACTTGGGTAAAGTTGTTGTCATTACTACCATGCTAGTTTCAATCTACAGGATATGTTTAGCATATGGAATTTGAATGTGGTTGTTGGGACTCTTGTTCCTTACTTGAAGCATCCGAAGACTGTATTACATCACCATATTGATGAAGTAACTAGGGATGACTCTATATAACAGTAGTCTTATATTGTCTTTGTTTCAATGCTGTCTTTATTATAATCCTTAAGGTGCAGAAATACATTGATGTCTGATCTGAATTTTAATAGAAGTGCAAATGGTAATAGGAAAATACATCCTAATAGTTAACTGTTGATTTCCTACAAACTAGGGCTGTGGAGAGTAACTGCACGGACTGCAGAAGGTTACAAAGTCCTACAGTAAATACAATTACATTCAAGGTACAGTCCCAAACTTCGGTTATTCCTTAGCTTTCATTCATCTTCTCTTCTCTAACCTTTAGAGAATGTCTTGGCTTGCTATTAGTTAGCTAACTCTCTCGTCTATGATGGGTGAATGTGGATCCTGTTAGTTTAACGTGGAATGTGAGAGATTGTTTCTCTTTATTAGAGTTTTTTCATTAATTTCATTTTGTTGGATAATTGGAAGAATATCAGCATAATGAACCTTGAAACAAAACTTTACTGTAATTTCATATGGGTTTTTTTGGTGGAAAAATACTATATTTGAAGGTTTAAAGATCCAATGCACTTATATTATTATTATTATTATTGTTTATCAATTTTCTATTTTAATTTCATTAACTCCTAATTTAAAATTGTCCTACAATAATACCTAATTGGCAGAGTTGAGATCTCAAGAATCTGCGTGGTTCTTTTTATAGGCAATTATATGGATTTGGAAAATGTTTCTTCAGTTTAATCGCATAATATGATTCTCCAAGGATTATTGACGAGAAAGAAAATTTTCTGTCAGTTTACAAGAAAAGGTACGCTCGTTTCAGCGTCCTTATTTTAGCTTGGACTTTTGAGGTTCAATTTATTTTTCTTCAAGCTTTGCAAATGAATTTATGCATTTTTTTATCTAGCTCTTTTGCACCAAAAGAACTGTGATGATAGTGGTTGGCAGAATATGTGTGATTGCCTGAGTTCAGTGATGATTTGCTTTGTATTTAGTTGAATGTTGATTAATCAGTTGGTTGAACCAAAATAATTAGGCTATAAGCTTTCTCCGATTGTTTCATGTCATGATTTATGTTTAAATCAACCTGATCTGATTTGTATTGGAGATTTCTTCAGCATTATGTTTTTTAACTGTTTCTTAGTTTCTCTACTCTTCCTTTCATTCATTTTCTGTTATGCCAATGTTGACAGTTTAGCTAATTGCGTCTTCTTTGATTGGTTCAACAACATTGAGTTATTAAGCTTTTTCATGGCATACTCTTTGCCATACACAAATTGATCTGTTGGTAATCATTACATTGTAAACAACTGATCCTTTCTCAAGTATTTTCTTTGCTGTGGATACCACTCACCTCTCATGTGATATTGAAATTCTGGAATGAAATTAAGTAAATAGGTTAAGAAAATGATAACTGAGATGAACTTGGCTAATCTAAAATGACAGGCTGGTAACTTCAAATCATAAAATGGTGTTTGAAACTAACACCTAGTGAAGTTTTTACCTGAATCTTTTCATCTCAATGCAATAGTATGACTTTATTTGTTCTCTATCAGTATATTGTGAACTTGAAACTTGATGAATTGTTAGGATCAATGATAATAAATGAAAAATATACTCAAATAAGCTTGATGACTTTATATGTTTTTTGCATGCTAGCTTGGCTATAATATCAGCTTTAATCCTCTGTTTCTATTTCTTGAGGTCTCTCTTACTATTTTTTTGTCTCTTTGTTGTTGACACAGATCATATGGAGATATCATTTTTGAAACCACTTCTTAGTAACATTTCTTCATTTTTAAATTTATCATTTTCTGAGAAATAACTCAGAACCAGTTCAGAAGTACTACCAG